GCTCTGGAGAATGTAGTGATGTCTAGAGAAGCGCTCTTTGTATGTTTCCAGTGAGATTATATGGTTAATTAGGAGTCCCCATGGTACAATGGGTTAAACCCCTGTGCCAGCAGGACTGCTGACCAAAAGGTTGGCACTTCCAATAGAACTTCAGACAGAAGTTTACCACGGATCAACTAGAGATTAACAACCTCATCATTCACCTAAATCAGCATCCTACAATGCTTCCACCCTATCTTGGGGATGTAGCCCCATGCTGGTTATTACATGATATTGTGTGACTTCCAGTGGAGGCTCCACCTCCAGCTGGGGTGGAATCATTGTTGGATGCTTCCCCCACAACACGAGAGGCTTCCTATGATGTGCTGGCCCTAATGGAGCCAGTACGGACAGAGGCGGCCCTAAGAAATTTTCAACGGTAAGCAAACAGTATTCCCCCCCCCCCCAACCAATCACTGATATATATTTTCTGTTTGTTGTGGGAGTTCTCTGTGCTATATTTGGTTCAATTCCATCACTGGTGGAGTTCAGAATGCTCTTGGATTGTAGGTGAACTATACATCCCAGTAACTACAACTCGCATATGGCAAGGTCTATTTTTCCCCAAGAGTGCCTCAAGAGCGCCCCTGGGCAAAATCAACTATACTGCAAATGCTTACTTTGCGTAATGAGTTGAGCCGCCCCTGAGTACGGATCATCTGCAGAATGGCAACACTTCCCACATGTGATAGGGAAAGTATCGCTGAGAGGGAGCTGTGTGTGGGGCGACAGATTCACCCTGCTGTTCCTCTCTTTTTTGCCATGAAGCCAGGCAAAGCAGGATGCTTCTCCTGGTCTTTGTGATGAAGCCCCTAGAGAGAACACTTCTCTAGCCATTACTAGATCCTCAAGAGCTATTCTATGGGATTCAAAATATTTCACATATGAATCATATTGTATTTGAATGATAATGAGCTTGCTTAATAGTTTGTCCTACTTTACTATTTAAATGTGGTGGAATTGAAAATGCCTGCTGGCATGTGAGATGTTTGCTTTCCTTGCCATTTACCAGAACTAAAAGAGCCATTTCAAATAAACTATAGCCACCACAAATTACTGGTGTGAGAAATGAATATTTAGAACTTACAAAGGGATGTGCTACTTACAAAGAGCTGTGCTACCCACTACATAGCAAGTACAGGCAGTCCTCAAGTTACAAACGAGGTTTGTTCTTAAATGTTTGTTTTAAGTTGGAACAGGCATGTTTTTAAAGTGTAACCCCAGTCTCTCTCTATATATAATATCTCCAAAGGGGTGTACATGCATGTGTGTATGTGTATGTTTGTATGTATGTGTGTGTATATATATATATGCAAAGTTTGAATAGCGTAGGGAAGGGTTAACACACCTGTGGTGTTTGTTTTGCTATCTGTGCCTCTGTTTAGAAAATTTCACCTCATTTTCTGCCCCTGTGATAATTAAATTTTGAAAGATTTTGCCTTATTGTGGAAACAAGGATTAGTGAGAAAGCCTCAAAGGAGACACCCTTTCTCCATAATAACTCAGGAGTGAATTTCCCTTTCTAGGGGTAGATTTCTCTCGCTTCCTTTTGTCTCATCCCCATTCTTAATTAGGAGGCATTTGGAAATTTGATGTTTGTAACTCAGGGACTGCTCTATAAATATAGAGAAAAGGACATAATAAATCAGAATAAAAGTGGAACAGGTAAAGAAGAGAGACAGGATCTTAAGAGCTCACATGGACAGTGGAGTGGAAGAAGCAGCGGAAGAAAGTTAATAGGTGATTGTAATTTCATGGTTTTATTGTTTTCAGTTCCATGTATTGTTTATTTTATGTGCGGCAGTTAAGAGTGCTTGTAAGCCACCCCGAGTCCTTTCAGAGAGATAGTGGTGGGGTACAAATAAAGATTATTATTATTATTATTATTATTATTATTATTATTATTATTTTACTGACACAAAGACACAGTATGTCACAGCAAACGAGATATATATGCTGGATTTCGTATCACAAAATCACACGTCGAACACTTCCCAAGCATCTAGGACTGTGTGATGTATTTGCGAATGATGCACGTAGGTTATTATTATTATTATTATTATTATTATTATTATTATTATTATTAAGGAAGTTGTTTCAATATTTTGAGCTAGATTGGCAAAATGCCTCCAATTGCTCATGTCTAAATTAAGTGATTAGTCAGGAAGGCAGCAAGAAGATAAATTTACTACCCACTGTAAAACATGCTGCAGCTTTTCATCAGTGCTAACTTGCGGAGGCTATTGCCAATTACATCAGATTAATTGCAAGGTTGAGCCGAAGTATTTTGGTAGTGAACTAGAAAATCCAAACAACCCCCCCCCCCCCAATTAATTGGGCTGGAACATAACCAAGCAAGATATTCCCCCGCTTGCACCTCACATAAGTTCTCATTTGTTTCAGCTTGTAAAAAATAGGTGGTAGTGCTTGTTTAAAGCTGGGCCATGGCATGCCCTACCATTAAGCAAATTGAGGTGGATGTTTCAGGTGCCAATTGCTGGGAGAAGCCAAAGAATGGTGGTAAAATGTTTCATTTCAGAATTGTGCATACCACATACCATCCATGTTCCTTACAACCTGATCTATATCCCACAAGTGCAAAGGAAGACACTGTTCTTCCTTGTATACAGGGATACAATGTCACTGTCATAGAATGTGTGTCTGTTTATATACAAGTATGTGATCGTGTCCATTGCCTCAGGCTGCAAACCATTATGGACCAGCTCTGGCTTGAGAAATTACACAGAATATGCCCCTTGGGTCTGAGCTGTCTGTCTTGTCTTCCATGCTGCTGCCTCAACATCTGCTTGCAGAGCCTGCTGCTCTCTCTCTTCACAATCTGGATCCTTGTGTAATCTTGCCTAAACAAATCAATGTGCATATCCTATGAGCTATCTTTATGATGGCCTTGCTTCAAATGCATATTGTGGGGTGGTATTATACCATCATTTTATTTTATATAAGCCAAGAGGAAGGAATGCAAAAGTAACCTTCGACTGTTGTGATGCATGCTGTTTTTATGAAATGGGAAGCATTGTTCTGAACCAGCATGAATGCAATTGATGCCCTTAACCAGGTTAGCTGTGAGCTCATTCTAGGATTCTGTGTGAGAATGATAAAGGAGACAGAGCTGTCATTTTTTACAGCCGTGCTGTTGTTGCAAGGACATCTGAGGATTTCATGAAATCCTAACAAGCTTATTTTCAGAAATTCACTGACAAAACCCATGCCTCTTCCTCTCTCTGATCATCTCCCACTTGCTCTTTCCTACTTCTAGCTCTTGATTAATGATTCAACATTTCTGTTTCGGTTGGCTGTGTAATGGTTGCCTCTCTCTCTCAGGTCCCCAATGACGCAAACCTGGCTTTCTATGTATATCTTTCATGGCAGAAACTGGGGCACAACCCACAGAGCCTGTTAACCTGCTCCATTCTGGTTTGCAGGAGAATTGCGGTCTCATTGAAGTGTGTGTGGGTGGCTGTGAAGAGGGTCAAGTGTAGAAGAAACTTTACCATCAGCATCACAATATAATTGGCTATTATCTCCTGTATTAATTTTGCACAGGCAGTTTCTTGGCATTTGTGTTATTCTGTGTTCTTAGAGACCATCTGTTAAATTGACAGAGGCCATCTGTTTCAGGGGTGCAATTAGCCACCCGTTATCTCTCCCCTAGGATGAGGAGCAACTGACCTAGGACAACTTGGCAAGTGGCGACCCATGTCTTGGCAATTCCAAAATTATTTTTTCCAGGCTGGAAAGGTGCCCTCAGACTATCAAAACTCCTACTCTTGGCTTCCTGGTTATTTTGAAGAAATAAATAGAGCTGCTTATTTATTTTATACATTGTCTTTATATAATGTGTCAGCCAGACAGCTCATTGGATGCTGTTCAGCCACTTATAGCTCTCAACCTCACTTATCTCATTGGAGCATGTTTATTTACTTATCTAATCATAGAATCTTATAGTTTGAAGGGACCATTAATGGCTATTTAGTCCAACCTCCTGTCATGTCAGAACATACAATTCCTGAAAGATGTCAATCTCACCTCTGTTTAAAGACTCCAAAGAAGGAAAGCTGTAGGAATATCTTAAGTCTACCAATGTAATTTGATGGTATGCTGGGACTGGAAGTGAGGTAACTGAATGATTTTTGGTGATATCTGTAGCTTCACATAACCATGGTTTGGACAACAATGCATCCTTCATAGATGCAGGGTTTTTATTGTATATAAAAATTCAATAGCTTTAATAATCTATTTCTAGCATTCTAAATTATTTTTTTTATTTTGAATCAAGTCTTGTAACTTCATTTTCTCTAGAAACTTGGTTTGTCATGATAGGTCAACATCTTTAAATGTTGACAACGGAGAGAAGTGCTTGTGGGAAATTCTGCTTCAGATTCCAGGTGCTATATGCACCATTTGCTGCCCTGTCTCAAGTAGTAAAATGTAGCCAATGCCATCTATGAATTAACTCCCACACACCTAGTGACTGTCTCTAAATGGGCTGCTTAGACATGAAATGGCAAGCTATATGGCCTTCAGCATTTTGTAAATAAAAAGTAAGACACATGTGGTCAAAAGAGAGTGGACAGGCAACAAAGCAAAAAATGTTCATGCAGAAAAACACATAAAACACATAAAACTAGTATTGTTAATACGTGTTTTTAAAAAATCTATGGAATTTATATACTGAGTTTAGGAAGGACAAGACTCCACCCACTCCCTCCTTCTCTCTGAGTCAACTGAGTGCAAATTAGTTCAGAACTTTGAACTCAGTTTTCAGCATTTGAAGTAAACCAAGGAGGAAGAGGAGAGAGAAACCTGGGCATTTTAACAGCAGTTGGGAAAGTGGGATGACAAGAATTAATGGATATTTCCCTTGGTATCAGTTGGAGGGTATACAAATTGAGGCAAGCACACACTTTTGTCAATGAAGCCTAAATGAAATGCCATGTTACCTTGTCAAAGGCTTTCATCTTCTCAGACTGTACTGGTCCATATGGCTCACCCACACTAGCCAGGCTTGGCTTAACTTCCCCAATGATGATATGCCGAGAGAACTTGTCACAGTTTCTCAAGGTGAGGGTCAGGGTCCCCTCTGGCAGCTCCTCTTCTTTGACTGGAAACAGCAGAGCATCCTCCCAGGCCACATGGAGCTGTTTCTTCTTCAGTATCGTCTGAGCTTCTGTAGTGCCAGACTTGCTCACCAAAGTGCCTAGGATGTAGCAATCGCAGCCAGTGTTCTGGTCTCCTAGTGTGGCTTCATATAGAACTATAGGGTCATAAAAGAAAGGGGCTCAGATTGCACTTAAATCCAGTAGAAGCATATGTTCTTGTTTCTAACTTATGGCAACTCTTAAGGCTTCTTACACAGATTTGTTGGCTCAGTAGATATTCAAACCCTGATCTCCAGGATCCAACACTCAAATCACTATGCCACACGGGTACCCGTGCATATACTCTTCCATTTCTTCATTCAACAACTCTGTGTAAATATTACAACAAAATATTTAAATTTGTTTTTATACTAAGCGTAGTGGGAAATTCTGGGAAGAAAGGTTCCCAATAATGTGATTCTAATGGCTTGAGTGGAAGAAAGAGGGAACTAGACACATCTTGGTGAGACAAAAACAAAGGGGTAAGACTTTTACCATGATTGATCTCCTCCTTGGACTACATCAGGCCTAATTTATTTGAAGCATTGTTCTTCTAGCTTGGTTCCTTCAATTCCATGAACAACTTGGAACTCTCACATATGTGGTACTCTTATCTTTGTATTGAATGTATTGCTTTATAGTTGTGCAAATTGTTTTAGGATTTGGGCAGATGGGAATAAAAGCAACACCGTGCAATTAGCAGTATTCATATATATGTTTTATGGTAGTTTGGAAACTTCATTGCTAATGAGAGAGCCAATATAGTCCAGGGAACTGTGTTAAGTTTGAATCTTGAAAATTGGGGCACAGAATTAAAATCCCCAAGTGAGTTTTGACTGTGATGTAAGAATCACAATTCATCATGATTATTGGATCAGGAATAAGTTACATGCCCATGCACTTTCTCTACATTCTCCCATTACATCTGAAAAAGGAAATTAAGAATTTTAAACCTAAAACCGATTTGTTAAACTGATTTTAATGTTCGTATATTTTAAATTGTATACTAATGCTTTTATGTCAAGATGCTTTGAATCCTCTTTGGGGCGATAAAGCAAGGAGTTAATACTACTACTACTACTACTACTACTAATAATAATAATAATAATAACAACATGCAAAAATACTGTGGGACTTTTGAATCCAGACTGACAAAGTTTTGGAACACAATACACCAGACATCACGATTGTGGAAAAGAAAAAAGTCTGGATTATTGATGTCGCCATACCAGGTGACAGTCGCATTGAGGAAAAACAACAGGAAAAACTCAGCCGCTATCAAGACCTCAAAATTGAACTGGAAAGGCTCTGGCATAAACCACTACAGGTGGTCCCAGTGGTCACTGGAGCACTGGGTACCATGCCAAAAGATCTCAGCCCGCATTTGGAAATAATAAACATTGACAAAATCACGATCTGTCAACTGCAAAAAGCCACCTTACTTGGATCTGCTTGTGATTTTGTGATACGAAATCCAGCATATAGATCTCGTTTGCTGTGACATATTGTGCTTTTGTGTCAATAATAATAATAATAATAATAATAATAATAATAATGATATCTTGGTTAATAAGGAAACATCAACTTATGTTTCCGAACTGATGGTTCACTGAAAAAAAAAGTGCCATAAGCAGCCAAAAAGGTTTTCTTAAGGCTGGGCATGCAAGGCAAAAAGAGAAGAGTCATAAGGGAAGTCTATTCCCAGTCAAGTAATTTATGATCCTTACTTTCAAGCAAAGTGACACACAATGCATTTTTCTGTCGGTTGTAGCCTAGAGAATAGTGAAGTTCTGGCATTTGGTTGCAGCAGGCGGCCTTCTCAGGACTCAGGCGCTCGGTGACACACACATCCTTCATTCCACCTGAAATATGCACAAATGAGTTAGTAAAATATGTCAGCCATTCAACACAATTTCTGACTACATTATAATTATTTTTTTCTTTTTGGGTATCATTACACGATACTTTCTTGATGTTTGGCCTTTAAAACAGATATCTCTACCTTTGCCATTGGCTCAGTCTTTGCCTTCCAGAGCGTGGAAAGTTACTTTAAAAAAGTAATTGTTTATGTTTATCTTTTCAAGGAAGAACCCTCTGACTGGCAACACACTCTATGGAAAAGACAGTGGGATTGCTACCTTTCTGACACCATGGATCATGAGATCTTGCAGGACCATTTCCATCAAGTGCACAAGGCAGTGCACAAACTGGCACCTGATCCAGGTGATATTCGCCCTTCTCCATATAGTGCGGTTACATCCCTATATCTAACAATACATTTATACCATAAAATAAATGGTGTTACTCCTTATTAATCAAAGAATCATAGACTCAGAGAGTTGGAAGAGACCTCGTGGACCATCCAGTCCAACCTCCTGCCAAGATGCAGAAAAATTGCATTTAAAGCATCCCTGGCAGATGGCCATCAAGCCTCTGTTTAAAAACCTCCAAAGAAGGAGCCTCCACCACAATCCAAGGCAAAGAGTTCAACTGCTGAACAGCTCTCACAGTTAGGAAGTTCTTCCTCATGTTCAGGTGGAATCTCCTTTCCTGTAGTTTGAAGGCATTGTTCCGTATCCTAGTCTCCAAGGCAGCAGAAAACAAGCCTGCTCCCTCCTCCTTATGACTTATCCTCGTATATTTATACATGGTCATCATATTTCCTTTTAGCTTTCTCTTCTGCAGGCTAAACATGCCCAGCTCTTTAAGTTGCTCTTCATAGAGTTTGTTTTCCAGACCCTTGATCATTTTAGTCGTCTTCCTCTGGACACATTTCACTTTGTCAACATCTCCCTTCAACTGCAGTGCCCAGAATTAGACACAGGATTCCAGGTGTGGTCTGACCAAGGCAGAAAAGAGGGGTAGCATGACTTCTATTTATGCAGCCCAAAATCCCTTTTGCTTTTTAAGCTGCCGTGTCACATTGTTGGCTCATGTTTAACTTGTTGTCCACGTGGACTCCAAGACCTTTTTTTACATGTACTGCTGTCAAGCCAGGCATCCCCCATTCTGTATCTCTGTATTACAATGCAAGAACAGGATAAAATGGTTTTAACTTTGTTATTATGATGAAAAGAATTAAATGCAAGTAACTAGTTCTTTGTAGTAAGTCACTTCTATACTCTGATTGGAATTTAGATGTCTGCCTTTGATTTATCCAATACTTTTATTTAATTAGCTATTTATTTACACTAGTTTTATACTGTATGTTAATCATAAATCCTTTAGAATGCATCAAATAAAAGTTTAACGATGCAAAGTGTTTATTTTACTATTTTAGTTATTAGTTTTTAAATTAATAATGTTTAGGCTGTGCTGTAGTGTTACATCTGCAATTCAAATTTAAACTTTTTTTGATGGAGAATTTCAGGAAAGCTTTGGCAGTTGTTTAGCCTCTTCTGGGACCATTTCTTGTGGCTCTATTTCCCCAGAGATTCCTGAAGAAATGACATTTTTTTTGTGCAACCATCAGTTTTTTTTAAAAGATATTTTTATTATATTATACACACAGATCAGTAAGCCAAATTACAAGTGTTACACATATAAAACCTAAATAATTCAACAAATATTAAAGATATTATACTAATTTACACTGGTGTATATTACCTTATCTCCACCTTCCTCTCCCTCCCTCCCTTCACCCTCCCTCTTCAACCACAGTGTATTTCTAGCTAATCTTGCAGATCCAGCCACTGGTAGAGTCTTTGTGTTTTTTCTTTGATGTGATCGTTGGCTCCTCCATTTTTCACCCAGTTGAAGTAGACCTTCCATCTGTTTGTAATGATCTTTTCTTTGTCCATTCTTGGTGTTTGCTTGGTCATAATTCCCGTAATGTCTAACAGCACTTGGTCGTACATATAATCATTCCAATTAGTTAACGCCCATTTCGATTTGTCTTTCCATCCTCTGGCAATCACTGCATGGGCTGCTCTTATTGTTACCTTAAATAACTCCTGGCAATTAATTATTATACTCGGATGATCCAACACTCCCCAAAGTAGCAAATCATTATTAATTTGAATTCTTATCTGGAATATCTCCTGAATTTTTACTTGTATGATTTGCCAGAATTTTTTTTATTTCAGAACACTCCCACCACATGTGTGAATAAGTACCTTTTTCTTTATTACAATGCCAACACTTCGAATTCTTTCCTTTTAACATATAAGCCAATTGTTCAGGAGTTCTATACCATCTTAATATCATCTTTTTTTCTAATTCATTATATTTTTCTATTTTTATTTTATTCATGTTCCTAATTATTTCCTCCTCCAGCAAAGGATCACCGCCTTGTCGGGGCGCTGGAGCTTGAGCACCTCAATGATGTCATGAGCGAAACCGTGAAGGGCCACCCAAGACGGGACGGTTGTGGCAGAGAGGTCAGACCAAGCGTGATCCCTGGGGAAGGCAATGGCAAACCACTCCAGTATCCTTGCCAAGAAAACTAAATGGACCAGTACAACCAGAGATATGTCGGTATGCCATTGGAAGATGGACTCCCAGGTCGGAAGATGGCCAAAATGCTACTGGGGAGGAGCAGAGGATAAGTTCAACTAGCCCCAGATGTGATGACGCAGCTAGCTCAAAGCCGAAAGGAAGGCTAGCGGCCGACGGTACTGGAGGTGAACGACGAATCCGATGCTCTAAAGATCACACACCATAGGAACCTGGAATGTAAGATCTATGAGCCAGGGCAAATTGGATGTTGTTATTGGTGAGATGTCAAGACTAAAGATAGACATTCTGGGGGTCAGCGAACTGAAATGGACTGGAATGGGCCACTTCACATGAGATGACCACCAGATCTACTACTGCAGACAAGAGGGACACCGAAGAAATGGAGTAGCCTTCATAATTAATAAGAAAGTCACTAAAGCAGTGCTTGGATGAAACACAAAAAATGACAGAATGATCTCAATTCGAGTGCAAGGAAAGCCTTTCAACATTACAGTGATCCAAATATATGCCCCAACCACAGCTGCTGAAGAAGCAGAAGTAGATCAGTTCTATGAGGATCTGCAGGACCTACTGGATAATACACCAAAAAGAGACATTATTTTCATTACAGGAGACTGGAATGCCAAGGAGGGAAGTCAAATGACAACTGGGATCACAGGCAAGCATGGTCTGGGAGAACAAAATGAAGCGGGACGCAGGCTGATAGAATTTTGCCAGGAAAACTCGCTGTGTATAACAAACACTCTCTTCCAACAACCTGAAAGACGGCTTTATACATGGACTTCACCAGATGGTCAGCACCGAAATCAGATTGACTACATCCTTTGCAGCCAAAGGTGGCGGACATCCATCCAGTTGGTGAAAACAAGACCTGGGGCTGACTGTAGCTCAGATCACGAACTTCTTATTGCTCATTTAGAATAAAACTAAAGAGATCAGGGAAAATACACAGACCAGTTAGATATGATCTCACTAACATTCCTAGCGAATATACAGTGGAAGTGAAGAACAGATTTGAAGGACTAGATTTAGTAAACCGAGTCCCAGAAGAACTATGGACAGAAGTCCGCGACATTGTTCAGGAGGCGGCAACAAAGTACGTCCCAAAGAAAAAGAAAACCAAGAAGGCAAAATGGTTGTCTGCTGAGACACTGGAAGTAGCCCAAGAAAGGAGGAAAGCAAAAGGAAACAGTGATAGTAAGGGGAGATATGCCCAGTTAAATGCACAATTCCAGAGGTTAGCCAGAAGAGATAAGGAACTATTTTTAAATAAGCAATGCATGGAAGTGGAAGAAGACAACAGAATAGGAAGGACAAGAGACCTCTTCCAGAAAATTAGAAACATTGGAGGTAAATTTCAGGCAAAAATTGGTATGATAAGAAACAAAGATGGCAGGGACCTAACAGAAGCTGAAGAGATCAAGAGAAGGTGGCGAGACTATACAGAAGATCTGTATAGGAAGGATAATAATATTGAGGATAGTTATGATTGTGTGGTGAATGAATTAGAACCAGACATCCTGAGGAGTGAGGTTGAATGGGCCTTAAGAAGCATTGCTAACAACAAGGCAGCAAGAGACGACGGGATCCCAGCTGAACTGTTTAAAATCTTAAAAGATGATGTTGTCAAGGTGATGCATGCCATTTGCCAGCAAATATGGAAAACACAAGAATGGCCATCAGACTGGAAAAAATCAACTTATATCCCCATACCAAAAAAGGGAAATGCGAAAGACTGCTCAAACTTCCGTACAGTGGCCCTTATTTCTCATGCCAGTAAGGTAATGCTCAAGATCCTGCAAGGAAGACTCCAGCAATACATGGAGCGAGAGTTGCCAGATGTTCAAGCTGGGTTTAGAAAAGGCAGAGGAACGAGAGACCAAATTTGTATTATTCCGCTGGATAATGGAGAAAGGCAGGGAGTTTCAGAAAAACATCTACTTCTGCTTCATTGACTATTCTAAAGCCTTTGACTGTGTGGATCATAATAAATTGTGGCAAGTTCTTAGTGGGATGGGCCTCCCAAGCCACCTTGTCTCTCTCCTGAGGAATCTGTACAAGGACCAAGTAGCAACAGTCAAGAACTGACCACGGAACAACAGACTGGTTCAAGATTGGGAAAGGCATCCGGCAAGGCTGCATACTCTCACCCAACCTTTTTAACTTGTATGCAGAACATATCATGCGATGTGCGGGGCTTGATGAATGCAAAGCTGGGGTAAAAATTGCTGGAAGAAACATTAACAACCTCAGATATGCAGATGACACCACCCTGATGGCCGAAAGCGAGGAGGAGCTGAGGAGCCTTCTAATCAAGGTGAAAGAAGAAAGCGCAAAAGCCGGGTTGCAGCTAAACGTCAAAAAAACCAAGATTATGGCAACAAGAATGATTGACAACTGGAAAATAGAGGGCGAAACCGTGGAGGCCGTGACAGACTTTGTATTTCTAGGTGCAAAGATTACTGCAGATGCAGACTGTAGCCAGGAAATCAGAAGACGCTTACTTCTTGGGAGGAGAGCAATGTCCAATCTCGATAAAATAGTAAAGAGTAGAGACATCAGACTGGCAACAAAGATCCGCCTAGTCAAAGCCATGGTATTCCCTGTAGTAACCTACGGATGTGAGAGCTGGACCTTAGGGAAGGCTGAGCGAAGGAAGATCGATGCTTTTGAGCTGTGGTGTTGGAGGAAAGTGCTGAGAGTGCCTTGGACTGCGAGAAGACCCACCAGTCCATCCTCCAGGAAATAAAGCCCGACTGCTCACTGGAGGGAAAGATACTAGAGACAAAGTTGAAGTACTTTGGCCACATCATGAGGAGACAGGAAAGCTAGAGAAGACAATTATGCTGGGGAAAGTGGAAGGCAAAAGGAAGAGGGGCCGACCAAGGGCAAGATGGATGGATGGCATCCTTGAAGTGACTGGACTGACCTTGTGGGAGCTGGGGGTGGTAACGGCCGACAGGGAGCTCTGGCGTGGGCTGGTCCATGAGGTCACGAAGAGTCGGAGACGACTGAACGAATGAACAACAACAACAATTATTTCCTCTATTTCTCTTGTCTGTAATGATTTAACTCCAATCCATTTATTACTTATTGCTCTAATCATAAACTCTTTATCTTCTACCATTAAATTATATATTTTTGCCACTGTTCCTTTACTTGTCTTTTCTCTTGCATTTAGCAATTTATCTACCTATAGTTCTTCAGTGGGTTTTGCACCCTCTTTTTTTACTTTTTCCCAAATCCCTCTTAATTTTAACCAATTTTCTTTCCCCCCATTTTCCAAAAATTCTGGCCAATTAATTATCTCTCCATCTTGTTTCCACATATCTTGTACCCTCCTTAATCCTTAATGCACATTTGGGATTAAATCATTCTCATTTGATTGTCTACTACTCATACGTCTGCTTTTGAAATGAGACTGGCTTTTGGAGACCTGGTTTATTTAACCTGCTACCATGTTGTTTCTTTCCTCTAAATTTTCTATTTTCATCATGAATTGTGTAGTATGGGGCTCTGTAATATTAGCCTAAATAGCTATATGCATCATTCTTCTTGTGCTCACAGAACTAGTTTTATGGCCTACATTTTTTTTCTTACCACTAGATATATTTGATAGTCCTCTGTGATCTAACAAATCCTGTGTTGCTATCCGGTGTACTTCTGCCCTCAGGTTTATGCTACTGGACTCATTATGGCATGATCAAAACAGGTCCAGAGTCGAGAACTTAACACACAGACACACATAATTTAAAGTGCCAAAGATCTATGAACACTAATAGAAGCTATGAATCCCAAGGGAAGTTCGTGGATACTTCTCTCCAGAGGATTTCCAGAGGCATCTGGAGAACTTCAACATCCTTCCCCTTTCTATAGTATTCCCAGGACTATGGCTTGTATTAGCTAACAGTCATACTTTTAAGAGTTTAGGATCATTTCCCTATTTGACTTCCTTGAATACACACCTTTGTTCTTTAGAATTCAGAATCCTAATAGATGAAGAAAAATTTTATTGGGACTATTGTTCCATGGAAATAAATACATGGTTGACATTCTGTATTGCACTGATTGATTCCTAATGTAGATGTACACATCCATGTCTGCTCCATATTCAGTAATTATGTGTAGTCACAGCCCATCTTAAGAGCCAAGAACCATACTGCATGAAAAAGCTCTGGATAGACTGTAGGGAAGATTATGTTTACAGTCTCATATGACCAGTAAGAGAGGCTGTGATAGTCAGAAACAGGACCCTGGTCACAATTCCTCATTACAGTCCCATTGGCTGGTAAATGGGAATGACAATGTCATTTTCATCTATAGGTAGCTGAACTAAGCTCCTTTGCCTAGCTCTTATGGTGTGCTGGGGTGGAGGGGTGAGGGGACAAGAGATGTTACTTACTATCATACTTTTAACTTGCAGGTGTGAACAATGGAATTTAAAGCACATTTTGGGCTTTTATTTATTGATTTCAATATAAATTAACTTTTTCTTGGAACAGGCAATTTCCAGTCAACTGAGTAGTTAACACCTCCTATACATTTTAGGCTCTTGTTCCCACCTGAAAACCAAACTTAATATTTTCTTGGGCCTTCCAGAAAGGCTTACTATTTTTTTTATTGTTTAATCATGTAGGCAGTAGTAACTGAAGTAGTGGCACTTTGCCCTTAAGAAAAAAGTCAGTGTCAAGTGATTTTTCAGGTTGCAATAAATTTCACTATAAACCATCTATAAATTTCAATAAGTGAGCTGGAAAATCTTCTAGAAGACTGAATGATTGATACTGTCCCTAAAACAAATTGTGCTGTTAAAATGATAGCTATGAAGATGGAAAAATCAATGGAACCATTGGGATGATATATATCTCCAGATGTGAACAATTACACACAGAATTTGCTTGATGATATGATAATCTGGACTCAATGTTGTTCAAATCCTTGATGGTCACACTCTGTACTGGAACATCAAATTTATATTGTGTGAAACCCCTGAATGTAATTGTGGGGTTTTAACTAACTTGCCAATTATAATGCTGCATCCCATATTATTATTCTGGACACCATACTCAGAGAAAGCAACATGGCTGTTAATTCAAACAAACAATGGTACAAGACTTGGCAAGGTGCCTACCATTTTGAGGAATAGTAAATAACTCTTCATTGACTTGTATGTTCACCCGTTTTTCATCCAGACTTTCAGATTTTCCCTTGCTTGGCTCTTTTGTTGTCTTTGAGGTGTAGTCTCCATAGTTAACAATTTCTGATGAAGTCACAACAGGCTTTGGACCATAGATATGGGGAAACTTTAGGATTGTCCTTGGCTGTACAGGTTCTGCTGTCTTCTCAAGGTTGAACTGAAACAACACAGCATCAGTCATTCTTACTATGTTAAACTAGAGAGATAACCTACCAAGGACACAATCCACTAGTTTGTTTCCTAGTTCATGACTGTTTTTTTCCCCTGATGAGATCATTTTGTCCCTTCTGCCTTTCTGTTACAAGATGCTTTTTTACTACTACATACTATCCAACATTTCACTAATGAACACTAGGACACAGGTTGCTGAGCAACAACAGAATATGGGGGAAATGGCAAAAAATATTAAGGAAAAACATGCAAGCCAGAAGAGGCTAAAGCCGTTTGCTTTCACCTGAAGGTATTAGGAAGAGCAAGACTCCAACTTCTCCTTGGAATAAATATATTTTGTGCAAAGAGGGGAAAGCAGGAATAAGAAAAAGAAGCCAAGACCTTTTTAAAGCAGGTGAAAAATAGGAGGGCAGAGAATTAATCGAAACTGTCCCTACAAAATCAGGACACTAGGGACCTCATTACATTGATGCCAAGAAGCATCTTCTCCCCACTTCTCTGTGCTGCTGGCACACTGCTGGCACTGAGTCCCTGTCCCCCCATCCCCCCCCCCCGAGCCCGTCATATGACACAGGACTACTTCAAGTAGGGCTCCATGATGGCAGTGTGCTGGCAGCATAGAGAAACGGAGCCAGTACATCCGACTCCTCATACCCTAAAGGCAGATGAGCAAAGAGGAAGAGGGAACAGACAGGGAAATGTTGTGGAAGGGAAATGATGGACACTGAGGGCAGGTAACAGAGATGAAATGAAATGAAACTTTATTTACAGCCTGTCCTATCACCCCAAAGAGCAGCTCACAACAAAATACACAGCAGCAAACATGCAATGCCAACAATAATATATAAATAAATAAAAAACAACAGCTCCCTCCAGTGCCCCATGATTTCCCCTGCTTTACCCCTGCCCATCTGACAAGGTCCCAGGAGTATATGTCCCAATTGCTTCACTGTTCCATCCTACCTCTGTTTCATTTCAGCTATGCAAGAAACAAGGACTGATGATATACAGTAAAATAACAGGAAAGACGGCATTAAAATGACAGGAAAAACTCCCTCTAGGATTTACTCCTTCCTATATTCCAAATGCAAATGTTCAAACTTCCTCAGAAATAAGGACAGATTTAATTATATCTTACACACTAAAATCCTCATTAACTCTTTTAAAAACAGATTACAAGAAATTAAGATAATCTTGAAATATACTCATTTTGACACATGCCTAAATGGTGACACTTTTCCCTGATTGACTTGGTCTGTACACATTTGTAAAGCTTGTTATAAGACATCAAAATCTCCTGAAAGCTGGTGCTAGTTTCCAGTAAACATAGGGGCAAGATTTGACTGGCAATTGGAGTCAATGACTTTTTACAAACACTTCAAACTTGAAACGGGGAAACAGGTTTGTGCATTTTCCCCTCACTTCCTTGCTACACATTCTACATTTCAAAGTTTCTATTAAATCACCCCTGAATTCTCATTTAAAATAATAATTCAAGTACCTCTTACATTTTCCTGCTGACTGTTAAAGGATCTATTGATAGTTGTTAATTGCTTATTTTGATAAAATGGTAATGGGGAATTATAGCTGTGTTGGGGCACAGGAAAGGGTAATCCTGGACAAAACCTCTTCAGTTGCAAATGAGATTATTTATTTATTTATTTATTTACTTTATTTGTATATCGCTCTTCTCAGCCATTAGGCGACTCAGAGCAGTTTACAACAATTTAGGTATACACAATACAAAATCATTAAGCATTTAAAAGCAATAGCACCACAAATCATTAAACATCAATATCAATACATCACTACATCAGTATAACAAATCCATCAGGTCTCATCAATGAAATCAGAATCCAAACTCATTATCCGATATTCCGTGTTCCGATAGTCAATCAATCACACTGCTTAGTCGAATGCCTGTTCAAACAGCCAGGTCTTTACTTTCCTCCGGAATGTCAGCAGGGAGGGGGTCGATCTAATATCTGCAGGAAGGGCGTTCCACAGCCGAGGGGCCACCACTGAGAAGGCCCTGTCTCTCGTCCCCGCCAGGCGTGCTTGTGAAGCCAGCGGGATCGAGAGCAGGGCCTCCCCAGACGATCTTAATGTTCTAACTGGTTCATAGGAGGAGACACGTTCGGACAGGTAGATCGGGCCAGAACCGTTTAGGGCTTTAAAGGCTAAAGCCAGCACTTAGGAATTGTGCCCGGTAGCAAATTGGCAGCCAGCGGAGCTGGCGCAGCAGTGGAGTGGTGTGCTCCCTGAGTGCCGCTCCTGTTAACATCCTGGCTGCCGATCGTTGGACCATTTGAAGCTTCCGAGCAGTCTTCAGAGGCAACCCCACGTAGAGAGCATTGCAGTAGTCTAAACGGGATGTGACTAGAGCATGGACTACCATGGCCAAGTCAGGCTTCCCAAGGTACGGGCGCAGCTGGCGCACTAGTTTTAACTGTGCGAATGCTCCCCTGGTCACCGCTGAAACCTGGGGTTCCAGGCTCAGCGATGAGTCCAAGATCACACCCAAGCTGCAAGCCTGCATCTTCAGGGGGAGTGTGACCCCATCCAACACAGGCTGTAACCCTATACCCTGATCGGCCTTGCGACTGACCAGGAGTACCCCTGTTTTGTCTGGATTCAATTTCAATTTGTTCGCCCTCATCTAGACCGTCACAGCGGCCAAGCACCGGTTCAGGACCTGAACAGCCTCCTTAGTAGTAGGTGGAAAGGAGTGACAGAGTTGGACATCATCTGCGTACAGATGACATCGTACCCTGAAACTCCGGATGATCTCTCCCAGCGGCTTCATGTAGATGTTAAACAACATGGGAGACAATATTGAACCCTGAGGAGCCCCACAAGACAATGGTTGTGGGGTTGAACAGGTGTCTCCCAATAACACCTTCTGAGATTGACCTTCTAGGAAGGACCGGAGCCACTGCAGAACAGTGCCTTCAAGGCCCATTCCCGCGAGGCGCCCCAGAAGGATACCGTGGTCGACGGTGTCGAAGGCCGCTGAGAGGTCCAGCAGAACTAGCAGGGACACACTCCCCTGGTCTAGCTCCCGGAGAAGATCATCAACTAAGGCGACCAAGACTGTTTCAGTTCCATGTCCCGGCCTAAAGCCAGACTGTGCTGAATCCAGAAAATCCGTGTCGTCCAAGAATACCTGGAGTTGTGAAACCACCACACGTTCCAGGACTTTGCCCAAAAAGGGGAAATTGGAAACTGGCCGATAGTTGATGAATTGAGTGGTGTCCAGTGATGGTTTTTTCAACAGCGGTTTTATTATAGCTGTTGGGGTTCAGCCTGAGTTTGAACTTGAACCTGATTCTCTGTTTGTTCCTCCTGATGCTAATGAAAATATATTTACTGATGCTAATGGAAATGTACCTCTTGATGCCAATGCTCCTGAAATTAGTGAGGAAGAAACTTCTGTAGGTTTGGAAAAGGCCAATGTTCCTGAAATTAGTGAGGAAGGAACTTCTGTAGATTTGGAAAATGAAAGTACCAGTGTTCATGAGAATGTTTCAGAGGGAAGCCTTGACCTTTCCCTCCCTTCTGCACCTGTTAACTGTAATGACAACAGAAGTGGCCAAATTTGGGAAGACAGAAGTAAATCACTCAGTTTGCGTCGATCCTCCCGAATTCAATAATTAAAAACATTGGCTTCAAAGAAGAAGGGCGGTTCACGGAACCAATTCTTGAGTTTTAATTGCCTTACGCCGGGCTGACTGTCTCAGTTCAGGCATCGTTTCAGAATTGATGAAGACCTTGGCAGTTCTCCCGGTTCCCTGGCCATAGTTTGGGAAGATTTCTAGGATATCAAGTACGGTTAGTGGATTGCTAACAGGTTCCAGTATTTCACAGTGAGGCTTCTGGTTTTGCTTTGTCCATTTAAATTCATGTTTGCTGATTTTGCTGTGGCTTTTGACTTGCATTTTTCCTTTATTTTGTAACCATTTTTCTTCAATAAAAAAGGATTGTTTTTCACAGCCAAGTGTGGTGGATAGTTATCTTAGGGCCTCGTTCCCTGCTCTGGATTGCAACATATAGATAGTATTGAGCTCGCTGGAATGTTGCCTTCCCGAAGGGAGGCATTAACCACCACCTTTACCCACTCGGCCAATCCCCCTCTGGCCTCCTTCAAAAGCCAGGATGGGCAGGGGTCTAGGATGCATGTGGTAGACCTCATTCCTCCAAGTATCTTGTCCACATCCTCGGGTTTCACCAATTGAAACGAATCCATCAAAGTCGGACAAGCAGACGCTCCAGTTACATCCACAGAGACTGCCATTAACATGGTGTCCAGGCCAGAGCGGATCAAAGCGACTTTGTCTGCAAAGAACTGAGCAAAGGCTTCACAGCGAGCTGCCGAGTTGTCAGGGCTCCCATCCTGAGAGGTGGGATTTAAAAGGCCTCTGACAACTCAAAACAGTTCAGCCGGACGGTTCTTTGCAGATGCAATAGTGGCCGCAAAGAAAAATTTCTTTGCGGCCTTTATTGCCGCGGCATATGCCCTTAGAAAGGACACAAACCGTGTTTGATTTGGCTCGCTCGGCTCCAAATGCCACACGCTCTCTAGTTCCCTCTTCCTTCGCTTCATCGCTGCCAACTCCTTGTTGAACCAAGGAGCTGGTTTAGCTCGGTTACTTGAGAGGCTTAATTATTCTTCTGAGGCTTAAGAAACATTTACATACCTGGCTAACTTGAAACAAGTTTGATTCCACATCAGAATCAATAAATGTTAAGTTTAAGTATGCCCATGGAATGTGAACTTATCTGCACCAGAATCTGTAAGACCTTTCATTCAATAAAAAATGTACACTTAAGTATGTTCAGAAGAGCTAAAAAAAAAAAAACCCTGTTAGTGAACTGCAAAGATGTGTAATAGGACACCAGCAAATGTGTCCAGTGAACATTGTGGAGGGTGGGCAATGTGATGCACATCAGGCCTATTGTGCACTGGTTTGATTGCACGTCAGTCTC